CCACAGCAACCCTCAGCTCAACTTTTCGCCCCACTCGGACCCACACCTACCCTCAGCTCAGCCTCCGAGTTCAACATCAGTTTATCTGCAACCACCTCCGTAGTAAGAGGTACGAAGTTAATTAGTACCTAGGTAGGAAACTAAGGCCTGCGGGGTGGGGGTGGGGGGTGCGGAGTAGGGTGTACACGTACAAAGCACATTCCGTACCTGCCCGTTAGTACAGAATAGGGCGTCGGGGCAGAAAGGGACGGTGTGCGACGAGGAAATCAATGTGCCGGGATAAGTCCAGGGGTAATTACTGAGCTAATAGTACGTGTAGGAAAGCGGGCGGTGGGGGTGGTATTGGGGGCCACGGGGTGGGGCTTGGCCCTCTTCAGAGACTATGTACTAAGGCATGTACGGTGTAAGTTGCACGCTTCCGTACGGCTAGCTGCTAACTCCGTTACACTTCGTCCCATCACGATAGGTTCCCTGGCAGTATCCGTTGCTGTTGACAAATCCCGTTGAGGATTGCCCTTGGTGGAATAGGTAGGTATGTGCATGAGGAGAGGTGTGAAGACAAGGATTGACTAAGGTAGGTATCTGGTATTTTTCAGGTGGGACAAAAAAAAGTCGAAAATCGTTCGTTTGAATTGACGTTGGAGGGCTGACTGGATACGGCATGCCGACGATTGTAAGCTGCAAGGCCAGGAATAAGTGTTGTCAAGCAGTCCTAAAATGGACGGGAGCGATGCGGATGAATAAGAGCCTTATAATACCATTGGTGTTGTCATACTGTGATACCTACAAGCGTCCCGGTAACGGGGCCCGGTTTAGCAAGCGTAAATCGCGAATCTTCTGCTTTACCAGAGGAAAGAAAAGGATGCTTCGGCTTTAGTAAACGGAAAAAAAAGGAAGATTGCTCCTCGTGTCGTAACTGAACGCAAACAAAAATCCAAGTATTGGGTATGATGACTATCACGAGCGAATGCCGGGAGCAGCAAAAGAAACCGGGGGCATTGAGGGCCTCTACCTGTCTGGCCAGAACGGCGAGATTCTAGAATAGATGACGCATATGAGAAATGTCTCCCGGTAAGGAAGGAACACTGCCGCATTTTCTGTACCTTGCTGTAGTCATAGTCGGGTTGAGACCTTCCCTCGGATAATTCACCACTCAAGGGGTGCCAGGGGTGTTGAGCGATGATGCAAGTGATTACCCGCAAGTGCCATAAGCTTGACCGGTGACAAACCTATTACGCCAGCCGGTGTATCGGACGGCTCCTAAGGTAGGCGTGGTTGCCTGATAATAAGCCCGATTCTTTGGATTCAAGGTTAAGCGTCGGTCCTAAAACGCAGGCTATATGCTCCGGTCTACATGTGAGAATGCGGAAACGAAACCTCCCCACCACCCCACGCCCCCAACAAAAAAACAAAAAAGAAAAAAGAAAAAAAGAGTTCTAGCGGCTCTTGCGCGCTTGTTAGCCAGCCATATAGCAGTGCAGTCTTATTTGCACGTCGTAGGTACCGTACCATTTCCTCGCCGTTTAACACTTGGTTAAGGTGGGGTGTGTTCCCCAGGTCCGGTACTATACCTAGGGTTGTGTGGATTCCAATGTATCCATTTGATGGCATCTGTGTGTCTTGTGTTGTACTGTACCTTACCTTATATGCCAAGAAGTTTTGTTTTTTAACGGGCCACTCAGCGTCCACGGTATAGAGGTTCCAAACATGGCCCGTTCAAATGGACTACGGGCAGAGAGAGTCTTCGTTGGTTGCTGGGAACAGGTGAATAGCAGTACCTATACTTTCGTGTACGAAATACGGCGGTCGTAGTCCTGTAAAGTAATTAATTCGTCCTTGGCTCTGAGTTGCGAAGAGATATGTAAGCACTGAGTAAGGTGCCTTGTGTGCCGCCTGTGGAATACCGATAGGTAAGGTACTCCGGACGGGCCCATGCAGGTATTAGTCAGGAAAGACAGGGAGTAATATCCTATTTGTTTATTCCAAAGGCGTGTTCATGACAATGATCGCTGATGGCTTGCCGTCGTGTCCAGGTGATTGGGACAAATGCGGCAAACAAAGTAGTTGAGCAATAGGACGACTTCCTGCCCTCCTCCCTAAGGTACGGTACCTAGTAGAATTGTCCCGCCCTTCGAGTGGAGAGTACGATGTAATACAATGTATGCCCGGAAGAGGGTGACGATATCAGCGAGACCATGGCCAGAATAGAGCGCCCGCGGCATCTTAGATCTCACAGTCCACGGCACTTACGAGGCCTCTCGTGACCCTTGCATCTGACGGGAGGACTAAGGGAAGATTTCCAAGGTCTGTTTATTTTAGTGACGGGTGCTGCCTGGTGAGATAGTGTCGCTTAGGAGAAAGGGGAATAGCGTTGAAGTTCTAGGAGTAAGCCCACGTACTGTACTTCCAACGTATAACTAGTTTAGGGTCACTGTAGTCCAAGTGAATCCACTTAAAGCCCTGTGGTTGGTGGAAACCTCACGGTTTCCTGCCCAAATCTCCCGAGACCTATAGAGAACCGTTCCTGGTACGGGTAGAACAAACAGTACGAGTACAGTATACGTACTCCGTACAATAGCCAGGCAGATCAGGATGGTTCTTCAGGATGGTTCTTTCGACATTTGCCACACTTTGAATCTTGCTACCCAAACGGGCATAGCATTATGGAACAAAGCTCTGACATGCTTTGTGGTTCTGTCCGGAGGGCGGGTTGTCCCGCAGATAGGGCGTGATTTCTCGCTACCGGTATAGTTTATCATCAACGCTTCCACGTTCGCTATCACGTCACACTCTTTTCCCATCCTTATTTTCTTCCCATTTATTTCATCTACATTCTACATTCTGATCATTATTTCAGACTCCAGACGAAGTTATAACGACGATTTTTAAAGTGGTTGGTCGTATATTGGGCCCCGATGCGGGGGCCAACGCGGAGAGTTGCAATGTGAAGACGGACCCGATCGGAGACCTTCAAAGTAGATAGACGAGATGCCAGGGTCGCAGATTCGGCCCACCAACCACCATCGTCACCACTCATCACATGACAAGCGCGCCTGCATTTGTTGACCTGCGAATACTGCATGAGCAACATCCCAAGACAGACTCGGTGACCCAGATAGATATTTTTGACAATGGGCTTACTGATTGACTGCATGATGTCTGCCTGGAGTATCATGGAAATAAGAAATTTCGACAAGTAAAACAGTTGCAGAATGACCTGAACCAGGAAGTGCAAAGTGAAGGCTTACTCTGAGAATAGTGAATCAGGGCCAGGAGGGCCACCTATGACCTCATTCATCATCTGATGTCGGAAAGTACTCCGTCGGCGACTACATAAGGGATGTACACGTAAAGAACAGCCTGACGGCCCCCCCAGGTTCAGCCTTATAGGTACTGAGTATTCATACACCCACTCCCGGATCTTATCGTCACTCCTCGATGTGGGTGATTGTGGGGGGATGGCCGGTCGGGGCGTCCCAGGCCCGCTAGGTATTCCTACGGATAATTATTAATTGCCTACCCTATACAAAGTAGAGTCTCCAATATACCTACCCATACTGTAGTTAGGTAGGTATGTACATACGTAGTTCGTTTATATTAATCCCATACATACGTTGGATGAGCGTGGAGCGTTAGCGATTGGCTGAGGCGCTTCGACGAGAACTCCCTCTCCGTCCCATATCATCTCCTCCCAAAATAATCCCTGACGATGCATCAACACAGCCTCGGTTCACGTGGTATGGAACCACACAAATGTCCACCTCAAGTCTCCCACAAGCCCGCTCTCTTTTCACCGTTTCCCCGTGCCCTGCCTTCCGATATCATGTGCGAAGTTCTGCTAATTACCATCCGCATGGCATGGGTTTGTTTCGCTCGGATCGGGGACCGGAGTCGCCGGCGTCTCTCTGTGGGGCTACTCGCACCTCTTTTCTGGGTCCCCTGGGGAACGTCCCTCTCACCTGCTACGTTGTACACCTCATTTTCCACTTCCTCTCACGCATGAGTAATTACATGCATGTAAGGGCACTCAAGAGGAGTTGGTTGTCAGTCGGGAAGCTCGTCTCTTCTTTTCTTTCTTTCTTTCGTCCTCCTTTGTCCTGTCGGGCCTATGCGATCTGGGAACTGCGATGGGGGAATTACGTTGTACGTTATGTAAACGATACTTCTGCATTCTATCGGAGGACAGGGGTCCCACCTCACCGCTGGCCCAAGCCCCATCCTCCCGGGAAACATTACGTCCCGATGCAGTTAGTCTGCGGCTTCAGTTCACCAGCGGGCCTCGCCCCAGCCACAACTAGTCCATATGCAGTAGTAGCGACATCAACCCATGCATGCCTCACTTATTACTCATTAGCGTGCAACTCGCAACGACATGGCAGATATGCTCCGTACATCCGCATGACGCCAAATTTACCTCCCGCAGCTGTTCATCATAAATGGACACTGTATATCAAGGAGTGTCAGTCACTGTTCGTCATCTAATCTCTTGCATTTGCCGATGCTTAGCCTTGTCGGCCAGACTCGAGGTCTCCGCCGCAGTCGGATTCCAGACCAGCTTGATCCTGGACGCGACAAGGCATCGTGGTTTCCTGCACCTCCTTTACCCACTCTTCAAGACAGGTTCATGAATGGCGCCGCAGGTTGTCCTGGCATGGGATATTTCTACTTGGCTGCCGTGGGCCTCTTTTCTTTCCTGCCGGGCCCTGCCTGCCTGCTCATGTCTATTAACCCCACTTGCTTCGTTGTGGTTGCCATCTGCCAAAGACCGGCCGGAATAGATTAGTATTTCGGGCCTCCGTCATGGGTATGAGTCGATGGGAGTAGATCTTCCTGTTCCAGGTAGTCGGAAGCGGCCCGGTGCAGCACTCTCATCTTACCTACCACCCACACGCACGCACCTTACATGACCATTGGCAATTTTGTCCTGGCGCTAGCTCCCCATGAGGATACTGGTTGGATGCCTCCCACTGGACGCTGGATTTGACGCACACAACACCTATGCAGTGCCGTCACGGAAGGCCAAGACCTACCACAGCAAATCGGTTCCCCGTCTGGCTGCCTTTTCATCGGCAGTCGATGCTTGGGGGTCGAGGTATTTCTTTAATTAGAAATCGGGCGGTAATAATTTCGAGTAGGGTACTGATTATTCTAGGTCGATTCGACAGGAAGAGCCTCCTCGTATGGGGTTAACCCTTCCCCCTGTCGTTATGATGCTTGAATATACAACCCGTGGTGAGCCTGGACCATCTTCCAGCTTATTGATACTTCCACTCCTTGGAAGAGGGAGAAGTAAGTCGAAGCAAGGGGCAGTATTCATTTGTAAGCCATTCCAAGAGCACGACCCATTGACCCAGGGCCTTCGTTTTCTCCAGCGGACCCCATAGTCCATCTCATCACATTTCCTTGTCTGCAATAGAATTGCGCAAGGCTCGATGGCTCGATGGCTTGATGCTTTCTTTGATGGGAGCTCCGTATCAGGGCACCGCTTTGCGAACTGCAGATGAGCATCCACCTCGAGCCACGCTGGCGACGTTTAACAAACAACCGAGCGCTGGATGGCCCCGTCTCCCGCGATCGATGGCGACAGGACAAGCCGGATGGGAACGGTACCGAAGACCAAGCCTGGTTCCGATGACCATTCGCCACCATGCTCAAGGTATGCCGTGAATCCATTCCCTGTGTCAGGTACATGTATATATATATATATATATATATATATATATATATATGGGCAAGCAACCATGCAAACTCGAAGAATGTGTATTGGCAATAAAACGGCCGGAGGAGAGAGAAACAAGAAACAAGAAGTACCAGTAACAGAAAGTGGAATCGAAATGCCCTCTGCGTCTCGAATGCCTTCTCCGTCACCGCCGTCAATACATATATAAATATAAGGTCGAAAAAATAAGAAAAAAAGCACATGGACAAACCCAGCTTTCACGTCGTTGCACCTCCTCTATACCGCTTATGACCGGCAGGACCCAGAAATCCATCTCCAGAAAGCCCTTAGGCTACTTCGTTCACCCATCAACACAAGTCCCGTGCCACATCCCGTCCCTTCTCTGGGATGTGGCAGGGGCCAGTCATATATCGGCGTGTATGTTGATGTAGGTATACTTGTCATCGTATCGTGATGAGAACCGTCATGCTCAAAAAAAAAAGAAAGAAAGAAATTACATGGTGCAGCAGGCATTGCATATGCTTGGTCCATGGTATCCGCAGTCCATTTTTATCACCCTTGGCCACTAGGATTGGCCGAGGTAAGGACTCATGGCAACTGAATCATGTCTTTCATGCTCGTCGACTCATAGCTGCGGCGGCTCCAGCTGAGGCGAGGTCTTGTTTGGCGCTAACGCTTCTACCAGCGACCCGGGGGAGATGGCTCGTGCCGGGAACAGTGCCGACAGGCCCAGTACTGGTGCGCTTCGCCGAGGCCACATGCAGTGCACCGTTGGCTCCCAACGGCCGGCGCACAGGTCCCGAAACGGGTTTATGAGGACTGACCCCGGACGCCTCACGGGGCCGCAGTGAGGGTCCGTTACCCTTATTGCCGCCCCCGGGAGGTTCGGGGAGGGGTCTGGGTGTCGAGATGGTGTTGTGGCGCTTGACCGGAGAGCTGTCTCGAGCGGGAACCCGTGGCAGTGGTACGCTCGTCTTCCTACCCGTAATGAACTCGTGGTAAATGGCGTCCTCAGGCTTGAGGCGTCGGTCCGGATCCCACCGCAAGCACCTGGCCACGAAATCGAGGAATGGCTCGTCGTCGCACTTGAGGACTTGCTGTAGCGTTTTAGAGGACGGGCGACGCCTGCGGCCCTTGGAGGATAGCACCAGGCGGGGCTTCCCCATGGAATCAAAAAAGGGCTTCTTTCTTGTACTCTTCTCGATCAAGTGCTTCTCCGGTGGACCGAAAACCTCCATGATACATGCGAGCTGCTCCTGCTCGTCCTCGCCAGGGAAGATGGGCACCCCCGTGTAAAGTTCGGCAAGGATACAGCCCAGACTCCACATGTCGATGGGTAATCCGTACGACATGCCGAGGATGACTTCTGGAGAGCGGTAGAACCGCGACTGGATATACGTGTAGACCTTCTCGTTCTCGAAACAGCTGGATCCAAAGTCGATGACCTTAATCTCGGTATGGAGCGGGTGCCGCAGCAAGATGTTTTCGGGCTTCAAGTCGCAGTGAATAACCTTGTGTTTCTTCAGCATATTCAGCGAGCTAAGTATCTGCTTGGTGAACCGCCGGATAAGCCTGAGGGAGAACCCGCGGAAAGAGTTGACCTTGATGAACTCGTAAAGGTTCATGTCAAGGAGTTCCGTGCAGATACAGAGATGTCCACGGAAGTAGAAGCTGTGCGTGAAGTGGACCATGCTGTGTGTATTCTTGGGATCCTGCGATGGATGTAAATCAGTGACTGCAGCTTCCAGTTGGTCTCTCCCCCCTTCGTGCCGACTCACCCATTCGCGGATTTTCTGCAGGATGTTTACTTCGACAAGAGCCTGCTGGTGGAACCGCTTCTTGTTGCGAATAATTTTGACGGCGACCAAGACACCCAGCTTGTGGTCGATGCAGCGGACCACCTGGCCGAAGCTCCCCTTTCCTAGTACGTCGATGATCTCATACCGATAGGAGAGATGGTCCCCCGGAACGATGGTATAATCACCACGGTCGTCGTCATATCCAAAGTTAGGCTTGGCCGATTGGAGATCTCCGACGACCTTTTTCGCGTTCTGCGTGCCGCAGAAGTAGACGTCGTCATAGTCCATGATCTCACCTCGCTCATACACGTTGAGCATGGCTATCCTGACTGCTTCCGCCGCACTGACGCGTTCTTTAGGCGTCGCACGTTTCCTCAGTGCGTCGAGGGACTTTGCGGCGATTTCGGTTTCGTCTCTTCTCAAGCCCATCTTTCTCATTTCATCCTCCGCAATCAGGTCGTGCTTGTCGAGCTCGGCCGTCCAGGGATCTTGCTGTCGGATTGAGGAGGCAGATGCTTTGGGGCGAAGAATCCTCTGCATGACAGACGCGTTGCGCGAGGCGCCACCTTGGTGGTCTGCCGCAGCCGCAGCCGCAGCCGGGCCGTTTCCTGGTTCCCTTCGGGGACTGCCATTCTGCCCCAGGCTCTCGCTCTTTGTCCTCTCGTGACCATGGCCCTGCAGCCCCGACGCGGAGCTCTTCCGTCTTCGGCTTTCCAGATAAGTACCCGAAGATTTGAGAGACGTATTAGGGCTGGGAGCTTGTACCGAATCCAGGCTTCCGACAGTTGCCGAAATGGGAATGCGAGGGGGAGGCATGCTGTCCTGCTTGGCCAGGTCGGGAACCTTATCCGCGGCGCCGGACGGATTGGTGGTGGTCCCGTTCTTCGATGTTCCCCTCTTCCATGAAAGGCTCAGTTTTCTCCGCAGCGAGCTCATCGATGACGGCGTCGGTGGTTCCTCAGGGTCTGAGGCAGGGGGTGGCGACTTGGTCCTTGACTTGGCTAGTTTCGGCGCCCTAGGACCAGAAGGCTTCTTCTGTTGGGATCTCGCATCTAGGATCGGCTCCGTCACATTGCCAATGTCGCCAGTCTTGGGTCTCCTGATGAACTCGGGATCCAGGCCGTTTCTGGGCACCGAGGAGGATAAGAAAGGAGACATACTAGGCTTCCGGCTGGGAACTTCGGATCCACAACCTATGATCGACTCAGATGAGCTTGTACCGCCGGCACCCGAAGCACTGTCGAGACGGGAATGATGTACGGTGCTGCTGCTCCGAAAATGAAGCGGCTCCGTGTGGCCATCTTGGTAATTCCTCGAGAAGAATGTGCTCCTGGAGGCGGTCATTGGGGTTGACGGTGTCTTGGCAATAACCCGAGACGGTGGGGGGCTCAGATTCCGTTCCGACTGACCCTGTTCCTGCAAAGCGGCGACTCTGGCAGCGGTGGAGGGATTCAGAGGACCGACCGTAATGGGCGGCAGGCGTAAGCCCGCGGGATGTCTTTTTGTTTGAGCCAGCGCAGATTTCTTTTCCGTCTCCGGTACTGCCGCATTGGTTGACTTCCGGGTACTTGCCTTCCGTCGGACTCTGCCCCCGGTCTCAGGTCCAGAAGGGATGGAAAAGCTCCCGGTGGAGTTGTTGCTATGAATACTGCTAGCGTCGGCCGCCAAAGTGGCCTTCCGCTTGTCCAAGAAGGATATATCGGCCGAAGTATCTTTCGGGGACTCGTATGCTTTGGGTATCGCGGGTACAGGAGGGACACCCTCGTGATCGTCGGCTACGATGCCACTATGAGGGTGCGGGGGAAGCGTCTTCGGGGTCGGTAAGCGTGAGGTAGATCCTGATGTCGACAGCCGCGGCGGTGCAGGTCCGATCGATGCTCTGACGGAATTGGGCGCAAAGAGGGAGGGCCCAACTGACAAGCCGGATTGGTGTGATTTTCTGTTGGTATCAGGAGTGGTTCGTGACGACGAAGGCGTGGCGGACGCTTTTCGTGGTATCATGGACGGCGACCTAGACTGTTCGCGACTATCGGAGGGCGGAGGGGGCGGCGCGTTGGCCAGACGATCCAGAATCTGAGGCTGGTGCATCGACATGCGCTTCATCCGACGTGTGTCTGTAGGGCTGATGGTTCGGGCACCTAGGCCCGTCGCAACACAGGGGTGAGGGAGTATGGGCATGCCGGACATCATGGTTGCGCGTTTCTGGTTGGCTGCGGACTGGGCAGAGCCAGGAGCAGCACTGCCCCTGCCTGCGACTCTGGGGGACCGCGGCGAAATCGCGGTGGACATGCGATTGCTGTGGTCGGGAGTGAGCATATTACCTACGGTTAGGCTCGAGGAGTTTGTTCGTGGTAGCGGCTGGCCGACAGACCTGGCTTTAGCCGCACGCGAATTGGCGATGGTCATGCCGGAGAGGTTCCGTGCAGGGCCGAGCCCCAACCCGACATTGCCATCCAGAGATGTCCGTGTGGACTCTGTGCCGGTTCCATTATTGGATATGAGACTAGGCCTCCGCTTCTGGCCTGTACGGATAGAATAGTCACCATCGATGACACCAGGGCCAATGGATTTCCTGGGGGGCTTGCCAATGTTGGTACTCGACACAGGCGGGTAGTGGCTCTGCCGACGGGTTCTCGTGGAGGCGGTGCCCGTTGAAGTGTTGTCGCCAGCGGCAGAGAAGCCGGAGACTGTGGAGGAGATGCTGGGCTGCCGGCTCGACGTACTAGGTCTTCGCAGGATTGAACCGGACCTGCCCGGACGGGAAACAGGTGGAGGATTGCCACCGCGAGTGGAAGTATTGGCGATCAACGAGGCTGATATAGTGGCGGCGCCGGATTGAGAGTCAGGATTAGATTTATCGGCCATTGTGGCGTTGCTGCCGAGACCTTGCGACTCGAGTATGCTGCCTTGACCAGTCGGGGACGGGAACTGGGCCAGTTTGAATTCGGTCGAAGCCGACTCGAGGCTTGTCTGAAGATCGTCAAAGCTCACTGAGGGCAAGAAGTCGAAGGACCCCGTTGGCTCAATTGTAGGCAGCGAGTCGCCATTCCTCCCGCTGAAGGAAAACAGAGAATGATTCGAAGTCGAGGCGCTGAGCATTGGTGCGTCCAAGATGGATTGTTTCACGGGAGATGTATTGGCTGTGTTCCTCGTGGTAGCAGAGAAGTCCCTATTGTTGCATAAAAGAGAGAAGGGTTAGCATATCAAGGATGCAAGGTCCAGGAGAGAACAAAAGGACGATTTTCCAGGGCAAAGAGCAGGGGAACAAGGGCTGAAATGAAACGGTTGATGGTGGACATTGCCAGGGCAATGAGGGGAGAAGCAACGCACCGTCTAGTCGGGGAGAAGTTGGCTGGTCTAGGGCCAGCCGGACCTCTGTGCTCTTTCACCATGTGGTATCGAACGTGTTCCCAATAAGGGTCATGCGAATGGGAGACGAGTGGTCGTGGTTGTCCTGAAAGATGCGGTCTGGTGCAGCACGGGAACGGAAAATCGTACGGAGCACCGAGTAGGGGGATACAGCCAACAACTCAGTCCGGTCAGGGAGCTGAGTGCATTCGAAAGGCTACCTCATTCCGGACGCGACCGAAGACTATGAGAATGAATGGTCGACGGGTTCAGGTACGGAGCAGCGCAACGAGACCGTAGCCTGCCCTGCGTTTTGTTCCTCGAGGGGGTGAGACTCGGGATGCGGGTTTGGAGGATATGAATGGACGTTTTTATTAGGGGTAGGAACTTGTTTGTGCTGCTTGTTTTGTCGTGGAAGAAAGAACGATGCAGGTGGCCCTGCTGTCTTTTCCTGCTGAACGAAGTACGGAGACACAGAGTACTACGAAGTAACGAATTAATACCTTACATTAGGTACTTACGATACCTTATACTCTGTAGAGGTACCTCGACAATTCAGGGCGGCCAAAAGGGGTGCGTCTTGTGGAGCCCTCCCCGTGTTCAGGCTGCCACAGTCACGTTGTAGCAGTTGAGGCGCACCTAAAAGTGTCGGTGGTGTTATATCCTAGTGGTATACCGGTACGCGGCTCAACGGTCATTCACCAGCCACCAGCTTCAGAACTTGAAATTAATTCGGAGCTATAAATGAATTACTGGACTACGTAGAGAAGGGACGCTTCCAGTTACGTGTATCCCTACCTGGCAGTGGAAGTTGAGAAAAGATGAATGGCGGAGAGGGCGCCTTTATGCACCGTACTTCGTACTCGCCCCTGGGACTTGTAAAGGTAAGGTACCTAGCTACCTAGGGTAGGTACCTTAGGTTACCTTAGTTAGTTCATTCACCAAGGGTACTAAGGCTGGGCATATAAGGTACTTCGTACATATTATATGCAGGTACTCCGTACATATTATTCGCTCAGTCACTGCTTAGTTTTGTTGGAGTGAGGTCGACAAGGTGGACAGACGGAAAGATGTCGAGGTTTAATAGTCCTAGGAGTCTTGACTTGTCTTACTTCGTATTTTCTTATATAGACCGTCTTGCACCCTAATGTGCTTTGGACACTCAACATAGAAAACCCTCCAAGACGGTGAAGGCGACCCTGTTATTATATGCAGTGATCAGCATAAGGGCAAAGCTCAGTAGCGAATCGCATGCAGGCCTGTTGGTGCAGTTTCATCGATAGCCCCTGCATTCACACACCCTCGGTCATAGTCCTGCTGCCAGTGGCTCGGCGACCGCTAAACTCTTTGTGACAGGATCATATCGCCCTGGCGACAGTCAATAGCAGCGGCAATAAGAGGTGAGAAGTGAATCGTGAACCTCTGGTGCAAAGGAACAGAAAAGGATAATATTTCGTGTCCACTTAGGACGTCTTGAGCGATCTCAAGCAGGGCTTCCCGTAGACCGAGGCCATACAGAGCGGACAATGCAACATTGTTGTTCTGGTGACATTCGGGCATTTTCTTGTAACTACATACTCACTAACCCCGCAGAGCCCCGAGATTGGGCGACGAGATGATAAAAGCAGTGCAGTTCCTGTCCCCGTGAACTGACACCAGATATTCTATGATTCAAAACCTGACCATCTTGTTCCATGGGCGCGTTCATGTTCTTGTTGACCATCCTGCTTTCTAGGGTATTCTTTAGGTGCGTAGGTATGGATTTTCTTGACAATGCATATAGTAATTCGTCGAGTCCCAATTCGTAGCAACCACGAGACCAGTGGTTCCTAATCAACAATCGACATTGGTAATTTGCAGCGTCCAACAAGCATGGGGACGATGGACACAGTTCGGTAAGGTAAGGTAAGTACCTTCCGTTGTAAGCTGTTGGTAATCGTGGCTGTTGTGGCGTGGGCTTACCTAACGTAGGTACTCCAGACAATGGTGGCCCACCATAAGGTACCATCAGACCAACGGATCACACCTATGATCATGTGACTATGGGCGATCCCAGCATCTAAGCCCATGATGTTAATGACTAGTACGCTGTAAGCTCGTCCTCCATCACATGCATCTTCGGCACCCACTGTACCCACAGTACAGTGTTCGTGTTTGGTTGTTTGCGTTGCCGTTCCCTACCTATTCAAAACATCGTTTCGCACAAGTCACCTACCAATGTCGGACAACTCGTTTAGTTGACAAGCATAAGTCGCATTCACTCTTAGTGGGCACAGCCCGAGATCCCCGTCCATCCTGTCGCTGGCAAGACCACCACTCCCTCGCAGGTAGATCTCTCACTGGATCGAGAAGATGACATAGAAAGCCTACCTTATGCAAGCATCGACTGCCTTGCCCCTTGCCTGGCCAACCAGCGTTCCGACCGGCTTCACCAGACCCTCAATGCCCAATACCTTTAATAACTTAATTCCTTCCAAACAATGGACGAGTACACCACCGACGTCTTCAACCCCGGAAGGGAGATGGCTGAACATGAGGCTCCCGAACCACAACCGGCGACTTCATCGCCGACACCGTCACAGAAATCACAGACGCCATCACGAGACCCCGACGCGAGCGACTGGTCACTCCTAACTGGGCGCAAAGGGCTGCGAGACCGTGTCGCATCGCTAGGTAGAACCACTCTCCAGGACCGCCTGGTTGAAAAGTACGTCCATTCCCGGCCCTCCTACCATGCCAGGGTTCCCCCCCTTACCCACCGCCCTTGACTACCTAACGACAGACCTGTCATCCCAGAGACGCGTGGCTGACCATGTTACTTTTTTGTCAGACTCCTACAGCAAGTTATACCCGAATCCGAGGGCGTCATGTCAGCCGGCGACGATGTCCTCTCTCGGGGGGCTCCCCAGGACAAAGCGCCCAATCCCACCGAGCGGCCCAACTTCAACCTCACCACCATGTCCAACAACTTCCGCCGATTCAACGCTCGCATCGGAGTCGTCTTCCAGTTCCAAGACCGCGTCGTCCGTCTCCTCACCTGGGACCACCCCACCTGTACTCTTTCCATCCTCTCCATCTATACTTTTGTCTGCCTGGACCCGTACCTTCTCGCCGCCCTGCCTCCTGCCGCCCTCCTCCTCGCCGTCCTGATACCGGCGTTCCTAGCACGCCACCCGGCCCCGCCCAAAGGCACCCTCTCCTCCGAGCAGTCCATGGGCTACTCCCCGCGGGGACCACCCCTCGCACCGGCCCCAACCGTCCGGCCGGCCAAGGAACTATCCAAGGACTTTTTTCACAACATCCGCGACCTGCAGAACGTCATGGACGACTTCTCCAACCTCCACGACAGCGTCGTCGCCCTCCTCCAACCCCTCACCAACTTCTCCGACGAATCCCTCTCCTCCGCCCTCTTCCTCGGCCTCACCCTCGCCGTCCTGCTCCTCACCATCACCGCCTCGCTCATCCCCTGGCGCCTCCTCTTCCTCGCCGCAGGCTGGTTCGTCTTCCTGAGCTCCCACCCAGCGCTCTCCCCCTCCCTCGCCCGCGCCCACAAAGCCCACGTCGCCCCGCACCAGCGCCACGCCGCCGCCCGCCTCCGCGCCTTCGCCGCCTCCGACGTCATCCTCGACTCCGCCCCGGAGACCCGCGAGGTCGAGATCTTCGAGCTCCAGCGCGCCAGCGCCACCTCCGCCGAGTGGGAGCCCTGGCTCTTCTCCCCGTCCCCGTACGACCCCTTGTCCGCCCCGCGCATCGCTGGCCAGCGGCCCCGCGGCACCCGCTTCTTCGAGGACGTCCTGCCCCCTGACGGCTGGGAATGGAGCGAGAAGAAGTGGGCTCTCGACCTCTGGAGCCGCGAGTGGGTGGAAGAGCGCATCATCACCGGTGTCGAGGTGGAGACCGAGGGCGAGCGCTGGGTCTACGACATGTACGACGAGCGGGAGGCCCAGGCGGGTCTGGCCGGGGATCATAACGGGGGAGGGGTTGGTGAGGGTCGCGCCGGGGTCGTGGACTTTTCTAGGATAAGTGCGTCCATGGCGGGCAGCGTCAGAGGTGGTAAGAAGGGGAGGTCTATGCCCTTGCCTAGCTGGGAGGAAGGGGAAGACGGCGAAGGCAGGCGCGGAGAGTGGCGGCGTCGGCGATGGGTGAGACTCGTCAAAAGACGCGCGAGTACGAGTAACGGGGATTCCTAAGTCTACTCAAATGCAACGAACGAAAAAAAGAACC